CTAGCAAATTTTCTTAAAGAGCAAATTATAGATAATCTTGAAAAAAACTATAGCGTCTTTATACAAATTTTGTTCAAGATATAGGTATTCCATTCCAAAGCCCTCCATTTTCTATTGTTCGCATTCAGCTGCTCCCATTATTCGCAATATCCTCTTCATCATCACCTTGCAGAATATGCATCAAAATACCCTATGTTACTAAGTCAGTAGCTATCAGATGAAGATTGTCTGTGAGATTATATATTTGCGCGGACGCACTACAGGTGTACGAGAAATGTAGCTGAGCAGACCGGAGAATTATTATATCCCTATTCGAATCTCATTCAGAACACTTCTAGTCAATGGATGAGAGCGTTATCTTATTCTTTGAATAACATCAACACTAGCAATAGGAATGATACCTTTCATTTCTTCGAAAGTTTTTCAGAAGGATAATTGTTAGGCGCTAGGATAGTCCCTACTTTGCTTTGCGTGGCATTTTTAGACTCTGTTTTTGAACATTATTATATTAACATCATATTACGTTCGCTTAAAAATTCTTAAATAATAACACCAAGATTTGGCTCTGCTACTACATACGACGTGGCGCAAGCGAATAGTAAACGTAGTTTGAGTCCATCCCCTCTACCATACCTACGCACGAGGTGATAGCTGTCTCCACAACAACAGTAGCAAAATAGGTGCAAATTTGCCTCGACTGACGAGGTTTAAGATAAACGCTTAAAGGCCAACTTTTTGATTAGAGCCGAGATTATAGCCTCATAACTGAATTGATATCGAAAGTTAAGCTAGATCTCCGCAAGAAAACTTTCTTCTTCCCTACGAAGCAAGTTTGGAGAGCAGTGCAAAGATGTTTTTCTTACTAACTTTCTTACCTATGGATGGGCTAATTGTGATGATATGCATCCATCCTCGCTGCAAAATCTGTTAGTTTCTCTCTCAGCTGGGATCCTCTCGAAGAAGTTCTGAATAAAGTTTTTGCGCAAAAAAAAATCGTATGCAAGGTTTATCTATATTTCATTAGCAATTTAATATCAAAAAGTCATACCTGTCTAGAATAGAAATACAGCAGAGCTTGAGCAGTTGTTTTTTGAGCTTTTGAGAAATGGCCGATCTACGCCAGTTTCAATGGTAAAGAAACTTTCAGAACTTTCTTCAAAAAACGCTTAGTCAAAGAAGGCAAATTGCTCAAGTCGCACTTTGCTTACCTAATAAGGAAAATTG